GCAGAGCGACACCCACTGGCCACTTGCCCACCTTTTTTATGTTTCCCTTTCTCATTGAAATTTAATTTGCAGTTAATTTTTAGCAATTTTAACTATAGGTACCTATGCATTCCAATATTAGATTTTTAATAGTAGGTAAACTATACAAAAAAACATAAGTAACTAATTTATAACTTAGGTCTTAGGTACTATCTACCTAGAATCTTCCATGATACCTTGTAGGTACCTACCTACTTAGTTAATAACGTTTATTTTTCTTTATTTAAAATGATAAAATATAGGTAAAAAAAAACGTATGCATATGTGAATTTAAAAAATAAATAGTAATAAAATGTATCATTTTTTAGAAATCTTTCTCTTTACATAAAAAATTAATTTTTTGTTTATTTTATCTGAGATAATTTTGCCGCCCCTTAAAACCGGCCCTGCGTATGCTTCAAACAATTTTTGGCTATGATTCCTATACACATATAATAATATTAAAACAATTACCCACATAATAATAATAATAAATTAATACTATTCATACATTATAAATACTGAAAAATAATTCATAATGAAATATTTTATTTATTTTATTATTGTGCCTATACACCTTTAATATACAAATTATTTCAATTTTTAATTTACTCATAGCTAATACGATATACCAAAATATAAAAATGTGAAATGTGAAATATAAGTTTTGGTAGTATTTATTTAATTTTAATTTAAATTAATTTCTGTTAATTGTTATAAATGGTTTTTTGAGTACCTACCTATTTCTTTTTTTTATCATACCCAAATTGTTCGATAATTCAAGTAATACGGCCTATTTAAATAGTTTACAGCAAAACTACCTATTATAAAAGTTTTAGAGAAGAATTTTTTCAACAATTGAAATAAGCTCGATTTTTTATATTTTTATTAATAAGTTAAATAATTAATCGATAAAAAGTAAAAAAAAAAATGTTAATTTACCATGCGATATTGGACGATTGGAATACGATATCAAAAATCGGATTTATTACGATTGTTAAAAAAATTCTCCTCTACCACTTTTATAATAGGTATTTTTACTGTAAACCTCTTCAATAAGCCGTATTAATTGAAGAACAAAAGTAGTTTTTATTTGTATAAAATTCGGATAAGAAGAGTTTGGCCTAGTGAACAAAATATGGTTTCGTAATTCAAGTAATACGGCTTATTGAAGCAGTTAACAGTAAAAATACCTATTATAAAAGTTGGAGAGAAGAATTTTTTTAATAATCGAAATAAGCCCGATTTTTTATATTTTTATTAATGAGTTAAATAATTAATCGATAAAAAGTAAAAAAAAAAAATTGTTAATTTATCATGCGATATTGGACGATTGGAATACGATATCAAAAATCGGATTCCTTACGATTGTTAAAAAAATTCTCCTCTACAATTTTTATAATAGGTATTTTAATTGCAAACCGCTTCAATAAGCCGTATTACACTATTACCTACTTGAAGAACAAAAGTATAGTTTTTATTTGTATAAAATTCGGATACGAATACAAAACACGAATTAAGATATATCTTAATTCGTGATACAAAATATAAAATCGAACCAAATTAAATATTATTTGTCACAAATATAATAATCATTTTCTTATCTGGTTATTTATAAACTATGCACAGGCGGTCGGCTGCGATAGAGAACCTGTTTTGACCACGGTGCGGTACCGCCGTTAATGCGCGCGGGGTGGTGGTATGCACAGCTAGTATCTGACTACGGGCGCAGCACTTGCCGAGCGTAATTTTCTGCAGTTTTCTTATAAAACATACTTTGCGCGTTCCAATAATATGGGTTACTGAGTGGCTTAATCGTAAAAACACCTATGAACAAAATTAAAGATAATAATATTTTCGAGGGCCCCACGTAGGTTTTTTTCTTTGTTCCAAATATTAAGCTCAGTACATCGTTTAAAAATAATGATTTTTTCAACATGTTAAAATGACAGTAACTTTTCAAAAAATTAATTTTTTGAAAAAAGGCTACGTGGGGCCCTCGAAAATATTATTATCTTTAATTTTGTTAATAGGTGTTTATGTCCTAAAACCACTCTGGAGTGCAAAATTTGGAATCTAAGCGAGCATGTTTTTGGTATTGAAAACGCCGGTACTACGTCCTCTTAAACGGACAAACATAATATTAATATAGTCATATAAATATCTAACAGGTAGACATTGTTTAAAATTTTAAAGCAAATCAATTAAGATTTGGAAATCAATCATTTTTACACCATATTGTGTTTAGATATTTTAAATATTTAAATATCTAAAATATCACATTTTAATATTTAGATTATATGCATACAAACATAAATAGTAATATGTATATATTTAAACTCTTCGGATCATATTTTTTAAAAGCATGTAATTTTATTTCATTGACTTTTAACTAAAATTTAACGTTTTTTAAACACTAAATGTTAAGCCTGTTTCATGAAAAATCGATTAAATAATAACTATACAGTAGACCATATTATTAATTATTATGTATAGGTAGGTACCTACCGAGAAGTTTGAAATTGTTATCGATCGTCATATTTTAACGATGTTTTGATGTACATTTAGATTTAAAAAGAAAAATTTTAAAAAGAATATAATACTTATAATATGGGAAATTCCCAGTACAAAAAGCTTCAACAACTCCATAATATTGTTAGGTTCAGCTAATAATAACACACTTCTCACATTTTATAACTGAAAGGCGAAAGCCCTATCACTATAGACCACTACTACCAATGTTGTCAGGATTAATATTACTTTAATCAAACAATTTTTAGAATTTGTTAGAATTACAATTTTCCTATTTGAAACGATTTTAACAATTTATAATAAAAATACATGTGGACTACTAGACTGCTAGAGTAAGACAGCTCTAGAGCTAGGGTGTGCATTGTGTACAATCGACCAACAGAAATGTCGACTGTGGCGCCAACAATCATAATTTTGTATTACTTCACACTTATGAAAACTTTGAAATAAACTGCGACGTGCCGACGTTCCGGTTGAAATATATTCATCTTTCAAGTCTCTCTCAGTCTCTCCAATTTGGTCAAAACACTTACCTACCAATTTCATCATAATCTAAAAACTCATAAGAGACAACGAGATAACATTCCTAAAACCCATGAAAGGCATGTGTCCATTTTACGTATGACATCACTCATTATTTCAGAAAACAGTAAAGTTTTTTATATCTCTTTCACATAATTTTAAGTCGTTTAAAAACATAATTTTTGGTAAAAATTAATTTTTCTCCAGCGTTTTGACGCATTTTTTAATAATAAATATATAATATATAAAAATAAATATTTGTCTGTCTGTCTGTGTCCTTTGCAGGTTGCTATATTGCCATTATATTAATAATTATTGGTTGCCGGGCATCGAAGTGCACGGGATTAGCTAATATTAAATAAAAACCAAAATAAATTACATAACAAAATTGTTTATTATAGTGTAAATGTACATAAGTTTACGCTAATAAAGTCATACTTACATAGTTTATAGGTATAATTTTTTTACAAAAATATTTATTTCACGAACACAACAAAAAAGATGAGCGTAAACAGATTTGGACAAAGTGTCCGGTCAACAAAACGACATCGTACTGCTCGATAAATAGGTGTGATGGGACTGATGTGAGGGAGCTAACGCCGAGGAACTTACAAAGCCTCCAGCGACGTTTGAATGCTAGTGTCCAAAAACCTCTTACAAAACATTACAAGCTCTGTAGTTAACGTTTTAGGTCGATAGCACTGCAACAAAACATTCGTTTCAAACAATCTCTTCGCCCGGCTCCACAGTGATCGACATTTGGGTCTGATCGCTGTTACAGTCGTGTCCATTTCTGTAGCATCTCCACGTCCGCCCCGGGTTAAAATGTCCTGTAGATCCGGTGGTTTTGTCCAATCGGCATCACAAGTTAACTGTGTTTCCATGTATCGGACATTTGGGCGTTAGATTCGACCGGCTGAACCGGTGGCAAAGTTTACGAGACCACTGGCTCGATGTCGCTTACTCCTGTAGCCGCAGGTGTCATTACTTTGCTGTTGGTCGTTTCGTTGGACGGTGAATCCTCCAAAACTTTCATTTCCTACTGGATGGAACGGGCTGTATCGTTTCTGGTGCATCGCCTACGGAATTTGTTTTCAATGCCATATTAGGCATCTATTTGCATCCGCCTTTTCTCCAGAAAACTCTCGAGGACGCTAATTTCTACTGCTATCGGACGATTTTCCCGTATTTCGCTAAATGCTTGGTTCATTAACGTGGTTGTGGAAGGAGTTGCCTAGCCAGCGGAAATGGACATCAATGAAATGTGAGGTAATGATTTATATCACCTATGCAACTGACAACTGGTAAGCTCACGCTCTACCAACCGTTTAGGGTGGTTTCCTCGGAGATAGTCAAACACATGATCATGATTTCGGAGGATTTCATGAATTATATAATATACTATTTACACTTCCGCTGCTCATAGCAACAAGATTTTTATATAGTTTTTATAAAACGGGAATGTATCTAAATTTTTTAAAACATTCGGTGGGCATATTATATTTTTGAAAGAATAAATAAAAAAACTATTTTGTGTTACAAGTACCTACTTGTATGCTCGGTGAAAGTGAAACTTCTTTCTCGGTTGATCGTATGAGTTGTGTGTAATAAAACCTTAAATCGCATATTTGTACGTATTCGGTGTGTGTACGCAATTTTTTCCATCAATAACTTTATACATAGTGTACCTACTCAATTATATGTATCTATATTTTATTTAAATATATTAGTAATTTATTCAAAGGAAATGAATATCTGACAATATGCTATTGAATTCGAATACGTTGCAATTTCTGTTGCTTTGTTAAAAAATAAAATATTTTTATTATTTATAGGTACTAATATAAATATCAGGTTTAACTGATATAACAACTTTATTGAATGAACTGAATACGAAACTGCAAGGTAAAGACAAATTGTTGTCAGATATGTATTCAAATATAAAATCATTTCAAGTGAAATTAAAATTATTACACAAACATATTAATGAACAGCACTTGGATCATTTCGTATGTTGTAAAATTGTATTAGAATCAACCAAATCAACTTTTAATTGGGAAACTACAAAAATTATTTTTTTAAATATAATTGAAAACCTACAAAATGAATTTTCAATACGATTTTCTGATTTTTACTTACAAGAGAATAAAATCAAATTGTTTCAAAACCCTTTTTCTGTCGACATTGTCGATGTTGAATCTAATTTACAGATGGAAGTCATAGAATTGCAAAACAACAATATTCTTAAAAATGCTTTTAAAGAAAGTAATGACCTAAAAATATTTTATTCAAGTCTTTCTGAAATAGATTTTAAAGGCATTAAAAGTTTTGCTAAAAAAATTATTACTGCTTTTGGTAGCACAAATATTTGTGAGCAGACATTCTCAATACTTAAATTTCGAAAAAATAAATATTGTTCACGATTAAGCGATGAACACTTGAATGCTGTTTTAAGGATATCAACATCCAATATAAAAGAGGATATAAATGAATTGGCGGGAAAAATTCAACCTCAAAAATCACACTCATTTATAGTAACTTAATATTTGTATACTAAAAATTAAAATGCATTCAAGAATTAATTAATAATTATTTTTAAACTTTTAAATTGTATCTACTAATGTATTTAATTAAAAATTAGTTAATAAGGACAACTGCAATGTTAAACTCATAATATGTTTGTTGCTATCTGTAAATATATTAGTATTATTTGTTAAAATTATATTTTTTAATATTTTAATTTTGTATGCGGCCCTCCATTAAAAACTGAAACAAATTATGGCCCGTGTAGGTAAAAAGGTTGCCGACCCCTAGTCTAGAGTTTAGGCCTCTAGGTGAGCCAAGTCAGTCGAGTTTTCTATTTTATACCTCCATAATTGGCCTAAATGTTAATCGATAGTTTTGTTTTTTATGGAAATGTTGTGCAATGACAGTACATTTCTTACACATTGGGTTTGATTTTGAATAATAGGCATTATTATTATTATTTGATATTACCTGCCACCTGCGTATGGTAAACTGCTAATGATAAATACCTAATCACTTTACCATAACTATTTTATATTATTAATTATAATTTAAGTGTTAAGCAAGTTTACAACTTGAATTTTATTGATATATTATTTTAATTTGTATATAATAGTGGCTTATTTTTTTTAAAATGAATTTAGGACTATATGATTAAAACTTTAATACATTTTATTATATGTATATCGTAAATCAGTACATATATTTATGAACAATAGTACTCGGCATTTCCCGAATCTGCCCAATTTTTTTTTGTTCTGACAAGAATATTCTTAATAATATAAACTACCATGTATAGGAATAGAATATTTTCTTTGTAATAGTGGTAAATATTTTGACAGAAAACAGTTTCTAATTTTCAAACAAAGTACTTGCGTAAACGGCGACCACGACTGTCATTATCTTAAATATAAATTATAAAAACCGAATAGCTTGCTTCTGCTGCGCACCTACCTAATCTATTTGGGTTTAATTAATTCAATAAATTATTGTTGGTATGTATACAAAAAAAAACCATCTTTGCGGGAAATATACAAACAATTTTAACTCAAAACCCTTAAACGATACAATTTTGCTAAATACTAAAAATATTTTTAAACTTCTGTAAGAACTTCGAATGGTCAATGATTCAGATTTTTAAACTTCAGGTATTTAAATTAAAATTTAGTCTTAATAGATACAAAATATACATATAGTTAATTTTTTTTGAGATTTTTAATAGGTATAGCCTACCTACCTATAAACAAAGAAGTGAACAATTTTTTTTAATGGACTAAGTCGTTAGCGCTCCCCTTCCACTTCCAATAATAGTAATTGGTTCTCGAGTCTGATATTACAGGGCGGGATTGAGGTTTCTCTAATAAGCACGTCGGTTAATAATAATAGGTAGGTAGGTAATATAGGTAATAGAATATAATATTATTATAGGTAGGTAATAGGTATTATACAATTATATGTACGTATGTTATTCCAATATACATTAGATATCGACATATCATGTGTCGTCTATTTTTGAATCATAACGACGGGAACAATATTGAGATTTCCCAGGGGAATTTCCAGTTGGGTTTTCCACTAACTACGTGATGGAAAAAAAATTAGTAGGTGCACCTCGCCGAATGGTACAGTGTGATACGACTATAATTATAATTATATACAGCGTGGTTCATCAAGCATACTGATACTCAGCCGCTTTTTGTTCTTCAATAATGCAATATTATTCAAAATATAGTTTTTTGAATTTTTGAATATTTTATCTGCTTTAAGATCATATTTTCAAAATCTTGAAATCTTTTTGTCTTACCACTTTGAAGTGTCCTGTGGAGTTTTTTCAAGCAAAAACCTTAATTTTTTACATTATAGTTGTTTTTTCTTATACCTACCTACAAAAATATATTGAATTTATTAAAATTAATGAGACTGAAGGTATGCAGCAGAATCTAGTAATCCGGTTTTAAAATTTATTTTTAAATTAATGACCTTAAATTATTTAGTGGATAATTTGTTTGTAAATGTTGACTTATTAGAATTAAAATTCGAACGAATGGTTTTTGAATTATTCAACTTTGTCTTGGTGCACTAGCCACTAAGGATAATAGTTCCATAGTAATGGGTTTGGGAGATATGGGGACTATATAAATGCTGTGTTAGTTTGAAAATTGTAGTAATTATATCAACATCTATAATTTGTAAAAATGGGGCAAAGACGCAAAGTATAACAAAACTAAAGTTTCAATTAGGCACACATAAAAATGTTCAAAAATAATTATCCACTTAATAATTTACAATAAAAATAGGGGGTGTTCTCATTAAAAAAACAGACGTTTTGATTACCACAAGACACTCCTAATAGTACATCAAAATTCAAGAATTTGAAAAAATGATCTCTAAATTTAAAAATTCTAAAAATCAAAATTTGAGTGAATTTATTATTACCTACTGTTAAATTAAAAAGGGGGGTGGCATGTTTTATGAATCACTGAGTATATAATAATGGTGGGCGTTTAAGTAATATTCAGATTTTCCGTGTTCATTACACATTTACACGCATAAAAACGGAAAATTCAAAATACTGTAACTCACCAGTGGTACTAGGTACCTATACCTATAATATACATATTTAACTTTTCCATCATTAAATGTACACTATTATTTCACGAACGGTCGTTTAGAAGGTATCGCGGCAATACAATTGACAATGTCACAAGTAGCAACCTATTTGTTAATGTTATAGCTTCTGTTTGCTTAAAAATATTAACCAATAAATAAAGCATACAAATTATTATACAGCATAACTCGATTTAAATTTCTGACCCAATAACTTTTTTAAATACACTTAAAATAATAATTTCATTACGATTAAATAGATTTTTTAATAAAAGTGTCACGTTTTTACTTTGTAACTTATAAGTGATCTAAAGCACTTTGTATAACTTTAATATGACTAATGCTATAAGTTATAGCATTTGTCAGATATCGATGGGACACCCTGTATCTTAGACCCCGCTAGGTGCCGATGTAATTACAAATGTTTTATTAATACGGGGACAATGGTCGAAAAATTAGCATTAGGAATAACATATTTACTAAGATATACTGTTTCGACCAAATATAATACTGGTCTAAAATTACCATAATCAATTATAACCAATAGCAACCTTACACTAAACAATAATAATATATTTATATTCTTATTTAGTTTATATTTTACTGGACAGATGGCGTCACTGTATTTTTGCCTTCCAGATTTTCTAATTTTCCGGGGGATTTTTCTAAAATGTTCTTAACTTAAACCTTGTCTTGACAATTACGAACCCAACACAAAAAAAAATCATCCAAATCGATCGTGCTGTTTTTTTAGTTTTAGCCAGACTAACTATCAGTTTTTAATTTTTATTTATATCGATTACTTATATAATCAGGGCTCGGAATAGCAAATGCATATTTTTCTTGGTTCGTTCTAAAACATTCAAAGTAAGATAATATTTGTATCACACTTCTCTGATGTTATACACAAATTTTTTTTTGCTATTTTTTTTTGCATATTTACGGTTTGTATTGCTATTTTGCTAATTTAGGGTTTTTAGCGGTTTTTTTTGGGTACATTTTCATAATATACATATCATACATAATATATTAAATTATTACATTATGTTGAAAATAATGATTAACTCTGTCAGGAAATTAATAGACCTTATAAGACGTACACTTTAACAAACATATTTAAGTACCTAATTTAATATTTTTATTAACAGTTTATAATTCAACTATAGTCCAGACAGTCCCTGACGTCTATGAGCCTAACAATTTTATAAAATTGTAAAATGGCATTTCATTTTTTCCTAACTTTTCTCTAATAAATTTTAATCTTTTCAAGTTAAATGCTTATTTTCTGATTTGTTGTGCTATTTATAGCTCATATTTCTTAGTTTTTAAGTACATATGCAAGAGCTAAAAAGTAATATTTTTAGTGCTACAACTTCTGAGCCCTGCTTTTAATAAATAAGTATAATGGTAATATGAATGATGATTGGCTATCGCCTTCTAACAAGCATATTATTATACGATAATCGTATGGACGAAATCGATTCTCTCACGAAGGTGACATATAGTGGATTTTTGAAGGATGCAAATAGGAGAGGGTTATACCTTACACCGTGTTTGAAACACGGTATAAGCCATAATGTATTTACATGGTGTTTCGTATGTTTTTATATTATATAAAAATGGAGATCGATATTTTCCAACATTATATACATATTATACCACAGAACTATCAATTTACCCTGATTATTATACGTATAATTAGTTGATATAGCTATCGGAGGACGACACGATCTTACCAAGCCCAAGACATCTTATATCATATATTAAGTGAAACGGACTTTCGGCGCCTCTGGACTTAGGACCGTGTTCATCTAAAGTACTCTGCGACCGGAGACGGCTAACTGTAGCAGTAAGTACAAGAAGATCTGTGGGACTCGATGGCCGTGGTTTTTTCATCTCAAAAAATCACTCTAGGACATTCGCTTATTACGTTACTGATTAATATCATAAATTATTATAATGAATAGGTAGGTAGGTAGGTAGGTGTCTGTGTGTGTAATTTCAGTATAGATTTTATAAGCATCGTATATTGCTAATGTGGTTTCGGGTTTTACTATTATAATTTCTACCGGAAAATCATCCGCATAGCCCGATGACGTCATCGGTTTTTGACCTAATATTATGTTCTCCTAGTTTTACCTATCTTTATATTTTAATTTTCAGACGAAACGCTAGTAATTCCGGTAACATAATGTAACGTGGTCGGGGGAACCTTGTTACGATATTAGTTATGGATATGTTTTCCGTAGCTGTGGTTAGAGCACTGTGTATGCGGTATTTTATCAATAATAAGACACGTTTGGTTTATAGATCGGTAATAATTGTCATATTTAAAATAATACTTTACTGAATATGAAGATGGCTGTTAATAAGTGTATAGGTGAGTTCACTCCTGTTGATGGTTATTGTC